AGGCTTCAAGTTTAATTTGTGAAAGCAAACAAGTATATAGGCAAGAGAATGAGGGGCCAAGAGTGGGCGAGGTTGCACACAGAGGAGAAAGAGAGAGGGATATATGTATAGCACCCTAGCTAACTAGCATTCATGAATCAAGTTGATACTACTACGCCCCTAGAGTTTTGGAGATTTTACAGCGTTGCCATTCGCACGTTCAATTTCAAATTAGGCGGTCGTGTACTAGTCTTCGCGTCAGCGTGAGTCTGCTTGTTCAAGATCATGAGGGCACCAGGTCTCACGTCAACATGCTTGTGCTTAGGATCCTTGGGGCCATAATATCTTACATCAACGTCAATATGCATGTGCAAGATCTATGTGTTTTGTTTTTTTGTTTTTCTTTCTCCCAAGTATGCATGTGCAAGATCTATACATATGTTGGTCACCAATTAGTGTTAGTCCTGTGTATCATCTAAATGCATGGTGCCCTTTTTTCAAATTGGAGATCGATATTGAAATTTCTTGCGTAAACGTGTGTATGAAAATTGAGTACTCATTAGTACCTAAAATCTAAATGGTATCGCAACAATCCAGGTTCAGATCCACTCAAACGCTTGGAAGGATTTTAAAATTAAAAAAAAGATATTACCGCATGAACATAGGCCTCAACGCCAATTCACTTTTACTTCCCCTCGTGAAAGGAAAGCATCTGGGTCGTTATCAGCACTCATGACATCTTATTTCCTATTCAGAAAATCTCCTTGCTTTAATCCCCTACGAATCGGGTCACGTCACGTGCCCCCCATCCCATTTTCGGTTCCGTAAATGGGCCCCTAACAAGCTTCAATGACATGGGGGAGGCTTTTATCCTGTTTACGGTTCTGGCCTTGCTCTGTTTGGTCTGCCCTTTTGGGTGTAGCCGTAGGGGGCATGGGCTAAGCCATCATGCTATAACTGTCGACCGAGAGAGAGGACGGGGAAAATTAATTTTGGAAATGGTTTGGCAAAAAGGTTTTGGGGGGCATAAATACGTTGCGTTTTAAGGGCTGGACATTGTGAAAGGGGAAAGCAAGTTTGCAGGGCTCCTTTGTAGGAACATGCCCCTCCTGTGAAGGGATGGGCCTTAAATTGTCATAGGGGAGGGAGGGCTAGTCTTGTGATAGATGTGAGTCAGGCTTGTTTGTGTGTTTTTTTTTTTTAATTCGTATCTTTTTAGGTGAGGGTCATGTTGAGGAAAGCATGGGTGGCAGGTTTATTTATTTATTTCTCGTAAAAAAAAAGTAGAAATATGAACTCGTATACGTGTATACGTGTACGTATGTATACATGCGTTCGTGTATGTGCGTGCGCGTGCGTTTGTCTGTTTCTGTGTGTGTAAATTAGGTTGGTGCCAAAATGTGTAAGGACACACCGGCCCCTTTTTACTAGACACATGGTGCGTGCGCGCATGTGTAAGGTGCGCTGAGCACGTGCGATACTAGCTAAGAGATGTGGCCTTATTTAGCAAGATGTACTTAGTGACGAAAGTAGCGTACTTTGCCTCCTATAATTTGACTAACATGATGGCTCCAGTCGATAGCCTATCACTGGGTATGACTAATAAGACAGCAAAATAATATACCTCATGTCACTTTTTTATATAGACACACGCACGCGCGCGCCCACGAGCACTATAATATATTCCATTCCTTGTACTAGGCAACAACAAGAAGGGAAGGGTTAGATATAGAACAGATAAAAGAGCGTCACGAATCGTGTTAAAACTGTGTTGTTGAGCAAACCATAATAGGAGCCAGCATGTCATATAGCGGCGGATAAAGGGATACTGTGGTATTGTTTTGCAAAATTTTATAGTACCGTTATGATCGTCTACAGCATAGGCTTAAAATATGCTTTAAACGACTTTTAATCTTTTAGCATTAAGCTTGAGCCTAGTTTTACATACAGTTGAGCATTGATGTTTGACATTGGTAAATTGCAATTACCATCCAAAATAAGCCTCTTGCCAAACATCTCAATGCGAATTATAAGCCACCCTCGCCATTTACCAAGAATTAGGTTGTGGAGAGGGTTGAAATTCTGTAATTCTATATACTAGCAAGAGAAAGCAGGCAATCGATCGACACAGCTGATGGAACGCCCATATGTTGTTAACATTTGCAGTAATGAACTCGTGAACGACAATCTGCGAATAAAACCAGGTACTCACCGTAGTATTTTACCTCCATGCTTTCGTGACGAGCCAGAAGCTTAAGCAGCACCAAGGAAAACTGGGTTTAGAAGAGCAAGAAAGATGCCATGCATACAATAATGCGTTGTAGACCATCAACTTGATGGCTATACAAATGGACTATTTTCCAAGCTAACAGCATAATCAGTCAGATTATGCAGCTAACCTCTCAGAATGGCATGCTGAATTGCAGTCGAAGGATATCAAATGCAAGTATTTGCAAATAATAAATTGTAAATTAACATGCTTGCTGCAAATTCCACTATTCTCATCTCTATATAAAACAGATGATTAGTCATACCCTAGTACAATAAAATTCCTACATGTGATGGTTCTATCATCTCTGATGGAAAAGTACCTCCTAAAAATATCCTCAATATTTATTTTCCCACGACTACGGCATCAAAGCACAAACTATCAACTAGCGAACCTATCAAATTAAGACAGTTCATTACAAAACCTCAGAAGTTGCAATAGCTGCCTACATTTTGCACCCACGAGGTAAGGAAAACAGAGATCCCTCTTCAATAGGACTCCACTGCACAAAGCTACATGTGGATATGACGCAAGAACCATTTTGATATGCTTTTGAAATGCAGCTTACATTCTCTTTTGACGACTTCCTCTAGATAAAATCAGGATTAGTATTAATCCTTTCACACAGAAGAGGTTCACTAAATCCAGTTGAAATCTCTGAAAGGCATGAGGAACTAACGATAACCTCTACCTCTTCCACGGTTCCCCCAACTCCTGCCTCTTCCTCTACCTCTTCCTCCACCATGAGACAAACCGTCAAATGCTCTATTCACATTCTGGTTTTGATTAGGCCCAAAACCTCGCCCCTTTTTAGCATTATTATTAACTGAACCATTTGTAGTTGATGCAGCCCTTTTAGCCCTGAAGCCCAAGTATCCAACCATGTGCAAATTTGAGAATATTAGTGAACTTTATGACAACAGAAGACTAAATTGCTAATGTTGAAAGATGAATTCCTTACCCTATTGTGGAGGCAGGTGATGCTTTAGCCGGCTCATTCCAGGATAGCTTAATTTTGTTATCACCGATAAATGTAGGAGCTTTTGAATGGAGCGGCTGGAAAAATATCGTATATGGTTTTTGATTAATTAAACAGGACCTAAACTGTATATGATGGTTCAACAAAATAATACCTGTGTCATTGCCAGTATATTGTTGCAGACCCTCAGGCCAGTGGTATCTTTCTGCTGGTTCAATTTCTGCAGGAATCAGAGTTGTCAGTGGTTAATATATGAGATAAACATGAATAAGTCAATAGTTCATTCGCAAACAGAACTTACAACTTTAGCCTTTGTCTCTTCATCTTTAGCTGCAGACATTGCCTTGTTGTGCTCTGCCATCCCCTGTGTTAGTTTCTTCATAGCTACCTTCACAACATCTTCAATAGAACTTAACCTGCGTAAAGCAAAACTAAGGGTGCCACTCCAAGTCTTTAAAAAAAATTGCAAACGGATTGGTAAAAGATGTGTAATAT